GACTTAACTTTATTTTCTTTTTCTTATTCTTATTTTTTTATTATTATTCTGTTCTTAAGATTTTTCTTGGAGTTATTTCCTGGCGGAGGTAGAAATTCATTATCATTGCCGCGGGCCACTCAAAAGGGGGAAGTTGGAGAAGAACTTCACGATCTGGCCGGCAACAACAACAACAACGACATACTTGCCACATGCAACATGTTATTTAAGCGTAAATCATTTCTCAACGTTGGCCAGAAGAGAAGAGCTGGCTGGCTGGCTGGCTGGCTGGCTGGCAAGTTGCGACTTGGAATTGGAATTTCGATTTTTCACAAGTTCACATGTTGCTCCCCGCGATTTCCTTGGCCGTGGTAAATCCACTGGAGCGCAGAGATGATGATGATGATGATGATGTTGATGATGAAGCCGCCAACGCCGCCAACTACAACTTTAGTACAACCAACAGCATTTTCCATTTTCATTTTCACACGCGGTCATTAGAGTTGAACCCACTTAAGAAGAGAGTGAGACTCGCGTTGGAACTCCTCTTTGGCTCATTCTTCACACACACACACTGGCACACTAGCAACAACGGCAAAAAAAAAAAAAAATGAAAATAATGAAAATCAAAAAAGAAAAGAAAAACTCCTGTTGAAGCTCAGCAATTGCTGGGGAAATAAATTAAATTTAACTTGCATTTTCCCCGCCGCCACCGCTAAGGGCCAAAGTTGTTCTCATTCTCCCACTTGGCATTGCATGTACTGCGAGTATCTTACAGATACTTTTGCTCGGCTCTGCCCTGGGTTCTCCAGCACCGCTCTAGCTCCGCTCCAGCGCGTTCTGCCATATGCAAATTAAAATTAAAAGCCTTTTTGTACTGCTTAACTTTATTTTTCTGCCCTTGCCACCTCCCTTTGCACCCATCGCTGCAGCCACTCGAGGAGGATCTGGAGTTGGTCATGGACTTGGACTTGGTCTTCCTCTTGCTCTTCGAGCTGCTCTTGGACTTGCCGACTTGGAGTTGGTCTTGGACTTGGTCTTGGGGTCTGCGGCTGGTCTCGTCTCTTGCCTATGACTTTACAATTTGTTTGGCCTGCTGCGGCCGCCGATAGGCCCTCTGAAGTGTGAAACATGGCTTCACACAAATTTACAGAGGGAGAAATAGGGGCAGTGATTTTAACAAAGTAATAATGAAAATGAAATGGCGTAAAACTAGTTACTCATTTCAACAAATTATCTAATTTTTGGTTCTTTATTTTTGAGACATTTGCATACTTTTATGATTAGTTAAACTAGACTTAAGAATATTTCTCTACAAAGAAAACTGTTTATAACATTTTTACAACTTATTTTTATATGTCAAGATCCCACTTTAGCAATATAATTAATAACTATTATTTTTCTTCCAGTGTGTCCACACAAATGAAGATTCCGTCACACAGATACAACTCAGCACAAAATCACTGCGGACGAGGCTTCGTCTTCGTCTTAGCTTGTCATTCCAGTGCCTCCCCCATCTCCCCCTTACCAACCACAACAACAACAATAATATCAACAACAACAACAACAATATCCCACTGGCCAACTCTGACTTCATTGGTGTTCGGCTTAGCGCTCTGAACTGCGCTGAACTTCTTGAAGCGGAAGTTCAAGGCGTTCACTCAATTGTATCGTGTAATGAAATGTTTTATAACACCAAAACAGACACCAAAACACACACACCAGCCGGTCTCTGATCTTGGCCTTCTTGAGATTTCAGTTTTTTTTGTTTAGATTCTATCAATCCCCAGTCTTATTCCTCTCTGGGTCATTGGCTTCTGCCATTCGCCCTTAATCGTCAGCGGTTTGATGGCTCATTAGCATTAATATATGTAATATTTATGCAAATATTTACTATCACAGCCACAGAATTCTGTCTCTTCTGGCTGGTTCACATCATTTGTCATAGGAAAACCAATCAGTTTATAGCAGTTAATTATGCGCCAATAATTAAACTGAAGCAAACAGTCTAAGGGAATCAAAGAAGGGCAAGAGATAGCTGAAAGTTTGTATACTCTATAAGAAATGGAATCGAAGATCACACGATCTAAATGTTCTTCAGAATTTTATTCCCTTTTGATGTTAATGATCTGATATTGGTCTGATGTTTTACTATACTGACTATCCATGATAATGAAAAGACAGCTGTTAACATAAAAAATGCTGACCCAAAACAGATTAAGTAATCAGCTAAAAGATATATATTTTTACAACTACGGCACATCTTCAATTCGATTTTTGTGGGAGTCAAAGGCCTAATCTTAGCTTATAGACCCTTTGCAGAACAGTCTGTCAAGAGGAAATCTCCTATATCGCTGGAGTTGAAGTGACAGCCAGCTCCAGCAAAGCTGACTTAACTCTTCCCAAGGTTGTAGACCTTCGTCGAGTGAATACCAGAAAAAGAAGAGAACCAGAATGGCAGAGAAGTGAGCTGATGGAGGAGTTGGAAGAACAAAAAACGAAATGATAAAGTATTCCAAAGGCCAGGCCAGACACACACCGAAATTGACGTAACTTATTCGCATTTATATCACTCCTCTCATCGGGAGAACCACCGAATGCCGACCGAGGCATCGGACATGGCCAGAGATTCAGAGATTCAAAGATACAGATACCATCATCAGTGTCGGCTCACGCAACAACCATAAACAACAACAACTACGGCCTGGCGCGTCAAAATTAATACGTTTTTAAATGCCAAAGCCACGCAGCTTCCTGTAGAGAAAGAGAGCGAGGGATGATGATCGACTAAGGGGACGACGAGGGGGACCAGAAATCGGAGACCCTATACCCCAGAGCTCCAAAGAGCCAAAGATCTTCCAAAGTCCCCCAACTCCCATCCCCATCAGCAGCCCAGCTACGAAGTTACCAAAGTCTTACGCACATGCGTGTAATTGTTTTTATTCTGGCCGACTCCGGTTTCCAGGTCGCTCTCAAGACCATCAGATTTTGGAGGAGGAAGTTTGAAGAGTTTCGAAGAGAATTATAGTTATAAACTTAATTAAATAAAAGGAAATATAAGTTTTTAAATTTACTTTCCTTAAATAAATTTCAATTTTTAAAGAGTGTTTTTTACTCCTACTATTTATATTTCTACTCAAAAAAGTTAATAAAAGATCCATTCATTAGCTTTAATCTCTATCTCTTACTTATTATTATATGATGTAATATCATTCTACAAACTCCTCTTGCGACCCTCGCACAATTAATGATGACTGGACGCGAGACCCCGAGCCGAACCCTTTACGGAAAAGCAAAACCGAAATGTAAATTGAATTTTAAAAGGCAATTTAACTTGCGCGCCTGGCCCGACTGTGGCCATAATTAAAAATTATCTTCAATTTAACACTCGACAGGGCAGAAATGCTTCAATTCCTGATCTACGCAATTTATTCATTATTTTTTCCCTACCATTATTGTGCTTTAAATGGTAACCTTTTTTTTCTTAATTAACCCGAAGCCCACAGCCAATAAGAGTTATGTTTTGTATTTGAAATTATTGAAATCCGATTCCCGTGTTGATTTATTGGCATTTGAGATAAGCCAGCAAATTGCATTAAAATTAATGCAAAATTAATTAGCTGCAAAAGGAAAAGAAGGGCATGGAGTAGGGAGGCGCACTGCCTCACTGCAATTTCATTCAGAACCAGCAAGTGCGGCATTTAGTGGACTTTAATTGCATTTCTGTTCCGGCATTCAAGTGGAAAATATTTTTGGTCCAACTGAGCCGAATCTCCATTGGGGATTACCGCAGGATTATGCCGGCCAAAAAGGAGCTCGCTTTTAGGAGCAAGAAAAGTTTTCCATGAAAAATACTTGAGTACTTTCTGAAACTCATTGGAAATTCATATTAAATTATATGGTTGTATATGTGATTTGTTTTTGAAGTGTGAAATTTATAAGCCCTTGTACGTTGTTTCTTCACGACAGCCAATCGAAAAATGCGTTTTAATCTCGTCTCTCAATTATAACTTTGTTTTGCTCTGCGAACAGTTTCCAATTTACATAAATCAAGTTGATTCGACCTAAGCCAACCAATGCCCACGTGCATCATTTGTACACACATATTTTCATCTATGCAATCAGTGTTACAGTGCGTTTCGTTACTGTAAGAAGTTTTGGGGCGATCACATTTGACATTTTTTTATTTTTGAGTAAAAATCTTATATAAACCGACTTTACTAGCCAATCAACTTATATTTATGTACCTCACATTACATGCCGCATCGACAGCTGGCAAATAAATGTTGTGAATAAAATTTTACGCCTTTTTTATGATTAATTCGCTGTCATTTAATTGCCACAAAATGCGACAAAAACAGATAAAATGCCAACAAAAATTGTCAAACAAAAATATTATTCGAAGCTCTATTTGCATATTTGGCTTAAAGGAGAAAAAGAGTTTTGCCCAATTGGCTTTTGAATATTCGAGAGTTGGCCCAAACATAAAACGATGAAAAACGCACCAGCCAACGGAAATAATAATAAAGAGTGAAGCGAGTTTATGCAAATGTTGCACGCGTTTGTGTTGATATTTGTTTTTGGAGTTTTTGTGTTTTGGAGGCGCGTCGTTGAAATACGCTTAAAGCCATCAGCCAGCATCATCGTTTAGTTAGTGTGGTCGTAAAAACAGCCGGAGTCTTTAATTGATTTGCCTCACTCTAGCATGCTGAGCACGTTCCGTTTGCCACCATGTCGTATGGGTAATATTTATTGAGCTGCCCGCAAGTGAGTGTGAGGGTGTAAATATAAACGATTAAATAATTGAAAGATGCTGATTAGATAGCATTACACTGGCGAGGGGCGGGCCAGCTAAATGAGATGCAAAACAATCCAATTTAATTGCAAATTTAAATTGAAATTTTGCCAAATTTGCTTAAAGGCCCCCAAGAGACGTGGCATGTGAAGGGGAATGCCAATGAGTTTTGTAATTAATCACAGTTCAACTTGCTAAAATAGTAAATGCAGATATATCAACTTACTTTGCTCAGTTCCTTATTTTCCATATTTTGAAATTGTCTTTGTTTCCACTTGATGAACGTAAATTGTAATTAATAATGCAAAATATCGACACAAAAACGAAACCGACTTCAAAGTAAAAGACACAAATATTCAATAAAACACATTAATATTTATAAGCGAAATTTCCATATTTTTGGTTACACACTTTCATTCAAAAAACACAAGCACAAATAATACTCCAAACTATAAACCAATTTAAATGGTTTTTTGAGTGGAAAATCCTTGTTAAATGTGGAAAATACTGGAAAAGAAAAGAGAGAAAAATGAGGAATAAATAAAATAGTAAGAAAAATGGATTTATTAAATATAAATTAGAAATAAAGAGATTAATATCATTAAATTAATAATTCTTACTTAAGGAAGTGTTTATTATTTAAAATGAAAACCAACTGGAAAATCATTAAAAATCTTTAAAAATTGAGTAAGTAATTTAAGATAAAAACGAAATTATGAGAAAATCTGCCGGCAAACAAATGTCTGCAAATTTTCCTTTCTACTTGGCTTACAGCCACCCTCTCCTTCCCCTCATCCCACCAACCTCCTCCTGTTTTACCCCCTTTTCTGTAGATTCCAGAGGGGATTAAGGCTATATCTAGGGCTAGAGAGATTACGCAGGGGGACAGTGGCTACTAAAACTGTCTCAAGTTAATCGCTTTTATTTATTTTCGCCCTGTGCCAAGCGAAAAAAGCCAAACACACACACACACACACACACAGCCAGAAACTCGGGAACCTTAACTGCAACCGGTTTTTCCACTCACACACACACAGGGACTTTTTTCTTTTTTTCTTTTTTTTTTTCTTGCTTTTTTTGCGCGCTTTTAGCTATTTTCTTCTTTTTAATATAAACTTTTTTCGTTTGTTTGCTGTTGAAGAATTTATGAAAATCATAAAACAAAAGCGAATTTCATTCCACATGTGCATCAGTGTGAGTGTGTTTAGTCTGGGCTTAGTTTCGGTTATTGGTGTTGGTGAGCGCTTAGGTTGCAGTTGCAACAGATAGACACCACAAGCACAAGCTTTCATGTCTAGCCAGGTAGCTAAGGTAGTAGCTGCTCTTGGCCAGGTTAACACGCCAGGCTTGGCGACGTCATAAAGTCAGCTGCCGCTTCTGTTTTCTTTTGTTGTGACTTGCTGCCTGCCTTTTGTTGCCAGTTGTTGCTGTTTTTGTTGCCGCTGCTGCTGCTGCTGATGCTGCTGCATCTGCTGCTGTCGCCTAGATGTTGCTGTTGCAGCGGCAGCAGCAACTATTCGGTTGACAGAGGCTGCCAGCCAGCTTTCAAGGCTGTTCAGAAGGCAGCCACACTCACACTCACACACACATTCGGCCACACTGGCTTTCATTTCGCCTGCCGTTAAAAATCTTTGATTTGAACATGCTTAAAAAAGTCGCACAATATATATCTATATATGTAAATATTTCAAAAACAGGCTACCGTTTATAATTAATTCAACAATTTCTGCTTTGTTGTTTCTGTTTTTTTGGGTTCAAATTACCGTTTTCAATGTGCGGGAGTAAAACGTGTTTTGATTGTTGTTGCTGCTGCTGCTGCTGCTGTTGCTGCGAGTGATGTTGCTGCTGTGGCAGTTGCTGCTGTTGCTGCTTCTTTGGGTTTTCAGTTTTCTAAAGCGCGGACACGAATTGAGAGATTTGAATTGGGAAAACCAACACGCAAAGAAACGCAGCTTCTTAATCGACTTTTTCGTTCGGCTGGCAAAGCTCAACTGAAATGCCAATCCAATTGGAATTCCCTTGCTGGCCGAACATGTTGCCAGCGTATGTTGCGATACATGTTGCCAACAATGTTTTAACTGCTTACCAACTGCTTTAAGGCAACATTACTTATGAGCCTCTCTTTTGCTGGTTTATCTCTCTCTCGCTCTTTAGTGGAAAACTCACTGCCTCTTCGACGGAAGTAAAACTGCATCAGCCGGTTTGTTTACCTTTTTTACGTGTCATACTGTTATACCGGCAAAACATCTGTGACTTGGCCAACACACATACAAGCACACACTCTCTAAACTTCCGTGGTGGCTTGTTTTTTTGTTGTTGTTGTTGTTTTCTGTGGGTGGTTGCCATGGCGTGTTGATAAATAAGCAAATAAATAAATAAACAGTTTCAAGTGTTTGCCCAAATTGAGTCAAATTTTCACTCTCCACGATTGCAGTTGCTGGCTGGCGGCGGGGGAAATAAATCGAAATACTTTTGGCCCGATTGATGGCTTCATCAAGTGCAATTGCAACAATTAGCCAAACTTTGGCCACTCGAAACACTTGGCTAGATTGGTTCCTCTGCTCGTTCTTTTAGGGGGGACACTTTAAGAGCGTATTGATTAAGCATTTATCAAAAATAAAAGTTTCATTAGCTTTTTGGGAAGGAATTAAGGATTAATATTGCTAGGGTGCCTGATTAATTGATCATGAGAAAGTAGTCATCAACTTTGATAGTTGCAATTTACTTTGTATTTCTCTTAAATTAAATTAAATTCAGCTTTTAACCTAACTAAAAGAAGCTTTGCGATGGCTTAGATAATAGTTACTGCGAGAATGACTAACTAAAACGTATTCCATTGGGAATAATCAAACTCAAAGGTATGCATATAGACCAAGCCCCATACTGACAGTAAATGCCATAATTAATACAAAGTCCCCAAAGACGAAGTATTCCATATGGAATTCAACTAGACATGTGGTTTATGTAACTCAACTTATCTTTAATCAATACAGTGAAAATCAATTCAGCTTAATACATACATCTAATTGAATCGCTTAAACCAAGACAGGCTCTGGCTTGACCCAGTGGATTTGTGGCAGATAAACATGAAATCTCCCCCCTGCAAGCCACTGGCCTCAATTATTTTCACAAATTGTAATTACTTCATCGAAACAATTGAATTGAATTGTTTTCCGGCTACTGTATTGCATCCCCCTCTCCATTCCACACCCACTCCTCAGCTTTAAGCCTCCACACCCAAAAAACTGTATTGAACTCGGGTATTCGATTGTGAACCTTTTTCTTAGCCATTTTGGTGATTTCATAACTTTATTAATTCATTTTGTTCATTGTTTCCCTTGATGGCGGCTTTTCCCCCCGTTGTTTAGCTGTTTACGGATGCCAATTCAAGCGCGACAAAAGACAAGAAGCCACAGTCAAAGCCAAAGCCAAAGCTAAAGTTAAAGCCAGAGCCAAAGAGGTGGTTACAAACCGCGGGATTCAAGTTGGTCCAAAGAAATTCCAATTCCAATTAATGAAAATGAGAACAACCCGGGGGGAATCAAAGGGGAGCGAAACAGGCAATAAAATTATGCAAACAGCAGGTGTTGGCCATTAGCTTTTCCAGTGTTTTTGCTGCAGTCACCAATTTGGGTCATTAGCAGGTGTTGTCATCTCTGCCAATTTCCTTTTTTATGGCCAATATGCTCGTATACTTGCCGGCAAAACCACAAACTTCGCCTCGAGCTGTGCGCAACCAATCAAAGTTATTAAAACAAAAGAGCAACATAAGAACTTTTTTTTTGTTTCTTTTTTTAGGGAGTGGAACGGCGGCTTTTGGGAAGTGTAGAAAATTTAATTAACTGCTAAATTAAATACACTTTTCGGCATGCTTTTTGGGTTGTTCTAACCTTGTTCTTTTGGTTATTTTTCTGGCTTTTTGTTCTCTGAGATTCCCCAATGGAAACGGCGAACTCCGAACCAGAACGGGCTGGAAAACCACTCAGCAACCACCCGCAATGGAGCGTCCACTTTTGGGTGGTTCTTATTGTTACTGTTGTTGTTGCTGCCGCAGTGCGTCGGAAGTTGTCGCCGGCAATCAACAAACCATAACGCACAACAAACAACGGTACTCCGGCCGCCGAGCCAAACAGCCAGCGAAACATTTAACGCCGCTTTGGCCCGCCATTTCCCATCTCATTCTAACCGCCTGTTGGCATATTCAAAATAGAAAGAGACGGGCATAGAAGAAATTCATTAAAAATTTCTTTACCTCAGCGCTCAACAAATTAGCCCAAGCTTGATAAGTGGCTAGAAAGAAAATAGAAAAAAGAAAATAATTAAAACCACAAAATAGCTGCCGAGGCCCACAAATTGTTCTAAATGGATAAATTAAGAAAATGTTTAATGTTTATCAGAAGGAGATAAAATAAAGAATAAAACATTAATGTGGCCTAATGATAGTGCTAATTGGTCAGAAATTAACCATATATTTTATTTTAATTAGATGACATTTTTAAATTAATTTTTAAGAATTTTAAGTGGGATTATTAAAGAATTTACAAGACTTGGGAAAACGTTTTTAGTCATGAAAAAAAATGAAAAAGCCATTAAAAATATTTAAAATGAAGAAATTTTGAAACAAAAAAAAATATATACAAAAAATTTAAATGAGAAAAAAATAAAAAAAACATTTTTAAAATTTCTATGAATAAAATTTAAGAAAATTCAAGCCAAAAATTTAAACTTTTTGATGGAAAAACAATATTTAATATCCCTATATATAATGTAACATGATTGTATCCCTGTATCGGGTACTTATTGTAACACATACATCCGTATTACAATATTATTATTAGTAAAATTTCTTAATATATTATTTTCTTTATTTGTTTTTATAATAAAACCTATAAAATCCTTAAAGAGAGATGAAAATCACAAGTAATATAGGTTACATAACCAACCCAAATGCCTGCAAATTAAAACCATTACTGTTGGACATTTGGCAATATCAAAATTATCGATCGTAATGAATAGTTTTAGTTTGGTTTAAATTGTCCATTGTTTTCGTTTATCAATTTCCCGGCCATAAGCTGTCAATTTTATGGCCAAAAGCGGCGCTTCTCTTTATGAGTTTCAACACCCATTCCCCCAAACATTTTTCCCTCGTCTAACCCAACGCACTAAAAGTAAATTTATGTTGATGATTTTGTGTGTGCCTGTGTGTGTGTGTGTGTGTGTGTGAGGCGGCCTATTGCCATAGTCAGAGCCGGAGTTTTGGCTTTTCATAGCCAAAGTCATGGACGTGGACTTTTTGCTGGCGGCGCACGCAGACCAAGAGCCTCAAATTGGAGTTTGGATCTGAAGTTGGAAGCTTCTATATACATATATATATATATATATAGTTGTATATATATATATAGCAGGCAGACAATGCAGTTCGGAGCGCGGTCATTGGACCGCTGCCCACCCAAAAAGGCGGCACTAAATTGCTTTGAAATGCCGTTAGAACAATAATTGCGCGCACACCACACTGCCAACATATGATTGGAGCTGGGAGATAGAAAAGCCTTTTGCCAATTTATTGAGTTGTAAAATTTGGCGGACGGCGAACGACGGTCGACGGACGAGGAACGACGGCAAGGCAAACGGCCGGTTCAGGCAGTGTGCAGTGTGCAGCATATTAAAAATAAATAAATTAAAAGATGTAAGCCAGACGGAGGCTGTGCTCATTAGAAGCCACTAGTTGGAGGGATCAGACGGGGAGCAGATGGACCAAAGCCGACGAAACAGAATGAAAACTGAGGTTTTGGACCCACTCCAGACTAATTGCCCAGCAAAAACGGGCTGAGGCAGTTCACAGGAAGACTTTTAAGGGTCCACCTAAAGAAAATATGGCTAAAATATATATAATTTGATTATAATATTTAAGCTAAGGATTAGATTGAATGTCATTTACACTGAAATACTATAACTAAGCGGAAAGTGAAAAGAAGTCCAATGAAATTAGTTTATAAAGTAACAGAAATGAGTTAAGCTTATGATATAAGAATACTCACTTACTTACTTAACTACTCATCCAAAAATATGTTGAAAATAAAATTAACTTAATTATTTACTCAACCAGTTAGCAGTTTGTAATTAGAGATATCAGTTATTTTGTGAAACTTTTCCCAGTGCACATTTCCCGCTGCTGCTTTTGGCAGAGACAGTGACGAATGTCACTTCCTTATTGCAAGGTCAGTTGGCTGGCAGGCAGCTCGCCGGGACTCCTCTCCCACAACCTCAGCGGAGGTTGTAACTGCAACTGCAACTGCAACTGCATTGATTGATGCTCTGCCAGCTGCCGTTAGTCGCCGTCTTGAACCGCCAAAGGAGCAAATGCAAAACTTCACACCAAATTGGCAGTGCCTAATCTGTCCCAGACCCACGGACCAGGTCCAAAAATAGTCAGCCAGGCCAATTGGCAAAAAGAGTCTCTCTCTGTGCATGTGTTTGTGTGTTTATGTTTGTGTTAACAATAAACATAAATTAATGAAATGCTAAAACAGTCGCGGCAACGCAAACAGCGAACAAGCAAATTGGAAGGGGACATGTTTATGGGAACTGATGGGAAGGCAGCTTCCTTTGCCACCTTTCCGCCTTTCCCCTCCTTCTTGCCCCACTGCACAGGTCGCACTCGGCGAGTGTCTCTCACCTTGTTCGGCGCATTTTGTGTGGCCATTTTCGGGGTAATTTGTTGTATCTCTGCCATTTAATGTTAGCGAATTTGTTGCTTTTTTCGCGGTTTTTTTTTGTTTGAATTGTATTTTACTTTGCGTTGTTAGTGGTAAATAAGTAAATAATTAAAATATCCCAATAGGGGAAGAGAAAGAAAAGGAAAAGGAGGGAAAAAAAGGAAAAGAACGGGAAAAGGCTGGAATGTTAACGACTCAATAAAGAGATGCAAACAAATGACACCTGTGGCGGAGGAAGGCCTCTTCTTGCTCCGCCA